GTTTTAGGTACCACATGTGTCCACAACCTTTGGGGAATGAAAATGTACCACATGATACCACAACCTCCATAACATCTGCATTTACTTCATGAGAATTGGCATATACACTATCTTCATCAAATTGACATGAATTGAAGAATCAATAGAATTTTTACCATTGTTTTTCATTACGTTATCAATCTCCAGGATGAATTTTTTGCAGAAAAAAATTATTGATTATTTTATTTTGAAATTATTTCACTAAATCTTATCAATATTTTATTTTTGGAATGCAAATCAATATTTTATTTTTGGAATGCAAATCAATATTAATTATTTTATTTGAAACGGTTGCATTTTAAAAATTAAAATTTAATTTTAAATTAAGAATTGACTAACATACCCTTTTAATTTGATTTTAATTGTATAATTAATATATTAAAATGATTGGTTGAGATTGGTTCTCACAGTTACCACAAACAAATCAGTTCTCCCTTGAATAGGCCCCTATATATATATATATATATATGTGTGTGTGTGTGTATGCATATATTGATTTTTTTTAATATATATATATATATATATATATATGTGCATATTAAATTTTTTTTTAAATGCTGAGTATTGGTTTAAGACTAACGGGATTAACGATTACCTCATATTTTCAGGGTTCGAACCTGGTCGTTACTAAAATCCTTATAGTTATGAACGTTCATCTATGATTATTTCATATCATTTATGACCACATAGAAAAATCAATTAATACGTAAACTAACCTAAAAATTCACGATGCGACTCGTTAAATCCGTGTAAACTATTGAAAGTATATATTATATATCTTTGTCCTGTTTTAACACATTGACTTCCTCGCACTTCATTTTGATCCTACATGATACTAACCCCACTTAATTCGTAAGAGACCATTAATTAAATGAAGGCATTTTTGTCAAGATACGGCTTCTTTTCATCTTCATCTTTTCTATTTTTTAGATACTTTAATTTTAAATCAAAACTTATAAATATCATATACAACTTTTCATAAATTATCTACGGTTTACTATAAAATATTTGACTGAAATTTTTAAAATTCATTTTTTATGCATAATTTGTTATAATTTATTGATGTATATTATTTAAAATTCATGATTACAATTAAATTATGCATAGGTATAACTTATTAAAACTTTATGTTTAAATCCATATAATTAATAACAGATAAACATAGTCAACTAAGAATAAACATCTTATTTTAAATATAAAAACACTAAAATGTAATTAGGATAATCGTTGAGTCATACGTTTGCAATACAAAATTATTTTTAACCACTAATAATTATTACATAATATTAGCATGAGTGGTTAACTTATTTGATTGTATTTCACGAGCTTCTTTGATTGCGTTTTTGTTAAACTATAGGTTAAATTTAATATTGTATTTCTTTTAGTATATTATATTGTTGGCTTACGTGGTTTACTCAAAATCTGGATATGGTCTCTCTTTCAAAGTAATTACATTCAGCGTTCCTGTGCTTTACATTTTGCTACAGCCTAGGTCCCTGTATGTAGCACCGTTAAATCTAATCCGTTAACTCAGGGGTGACTTGGTCACTTTACCTTTTTCTTGTCTTTTTCATGTTAATACGTAATATTAATGTTATGTATTATGTGTGTGTATGTGAACACAGATCATGCCGAACACATCCTCACCCTTCGGCCTATCTCACCCTCATGCGTTCCTCCACCTCTCCGACAATGCCATTGCATCAATTCTCTGGCATGCCTCCTCCTCCGACAACACCCTCACACCTACGACAACAGTTTGATCAGGGCGTCATTTTTACCCCCGTGACAACATCGTTTCTCCTCCACCTTGTTCCCTCACACACGAAGCTTATTTTCATCGTTGTTCTCCTCCACAACCACACCCACCATCACCATTCTCCACCACAACCACCTCCAATCTGAAACCTACCATGTTTTGGCCACCATCTCCATTCGAACAGTGAAAATTACAAACCATCTTGTGAACAGTGAAACATCTTGTAAGGAAATACAAACCATGGGGACATTGAATGTACTGATTTTAAATTTGAAACCTATCCAACTTTTGAACAAACCATACAGACTAAACGTTCATTGACGTTGCATCTATAAAACAATTACTTTTATCTTTTTCCTTTTACATAAGCATGTCTATTAAGGAATTGACCATATGCATTAATTATCCAAGTAGTAGATATAAACTCTTCAACCAAACCTTGACGTATTAATAGTACATGTCAACGTTTTTAAGATAGTTGACTTTACGAGGTCTCTAAAATAATTATAATATTCTTAAAATATTGTAAATTAAATAAAAACCGTTAAAAAGTTATCAATGGTTGAAAATCAGTTTAACGTATTGTTTTTATAAACAAAAACACAATATATAAAAATCAATCAACATAATCACTACAACAAAATTGAGTTTATAGGACACTCTTAAATTATAAGTGTTTTAATAGACCTTTTTATATTACTTAATTTATAGGACTAAAAAAATAAAGTGTCATATCTAAAGGTGTTGTAATAAGTTTATATGACGTTTTTGGGTATCTTAACAAGTTTTTTAGTACATTTTTAATACAAAGTGTCGCATTAGCAACTTTGTAGGACACTTTTGAGAAAGTGTCCTATAAACTCATTTTTTTATAGTACACTTGTTTTTATAGGACAATTTTTCAAATAGTATCCTATAAAGTTGATAATTGGACACTTTATAAAAGTGTCCTAAAACACTTATACGATGTCAAAAAAACGTCATATAAACTTATTACAACACTTTTAGATATGACACTTTATTTTTTGGTCATATAAACTAAGTTCTATAAAGAGGTCTATTAAAATACTTAAAATTTGAGAGTGTCCTATAAACTCGATT